TATTATAAAATTACTTATTATTACCTATTTCACAGTAATATTAAGTAATAATATGTAACTGACTTTGCCCATCTCTAATCTAGATGAATTGACAATCATTCAAATAAAGACTATTCGGTGAAGATATTTAATGTTTCGTTAAACCAAACATTTATTATTTCATAAAAATCTATATAAATAATTATCCGTTTTTCTAAAATCATTCCCAACATATTCTGCAAATGTTCAATGAAAGTTTACATTAACTATAAGTTATCAAAAAAATAATAAATTTTCCTGCAAATTAAACTCATGCCAATTTGTCTTAATGTTAGTTAAAATTTTGTGACTTATCATTAAGGAATTTTCAATCATCAACTTTTGATATAATTAGCTTAGCAAAGTAATTGTAATAGCGTAAAACCAAAATCGATTATGCAAATTATTATATAATTGAAGTTTTCGCAATCAAAATGAAATTGTAATTGATAATTTATTAAATATTATTTTTTTTTAAAAAAAAACTATCCAACAATAAATAACAGATGTAATCATCTTTCAAAACAATATAGTAAAATATCAACTTCAGCTACCTGTTCAAAGTGTCGCTAAATGATCATAACATTCATCAATCATCAGTTTAAAATAGAAAGTCATCAAACAAAATCCACTAATTTTAGGTTTTCATGAATTTTGAATTAATAAATCAAATGATGAAACTATTAATAATAATGAATAGTTGAAATTTGTTGCCATTCGAGGTAAAGGCTAAGAGATGGTAAGCATCTGCAATTGTTTTGAGCTGCCAATAATGTTTAATTTTCATGAAAATTTTTAATACAAATAATAAAATAATAATTCGTTAATTGAATGAGATCCATAGCAAAGTTACTTGAACAATCGCTTACTTAATTAATAATAAATTTTCTTAAACCAGATATAAAAAAAAAAGAAGTCTGTTGTAAAAAGTTTGTAAATTAAAATAATATTCTCTTAATTTTTTTACTAATAAAAAGATTTATATTTACGTAATAAACTTTAACAAACTATAAATTCTCTATAATGATAAACGCACTCATTGAAAATATTTTCGCTAAGTAAAATTTATTCCCCGACACTTTAATTCCCAAATGAATATATTTATATCATTTAATATGCCAAATAAAACTCCTAAAATCAAATTTTGAAATGTAATCATACTTTCTTTTTATAAAGTAGTTTTAACAAAGTTACCCATAAAATTCTAAGAATGTAATAACTGTATTTTTATAAAGAGCCTTAGTTAATGCCTTTCCTGCATCGGTACCAAGTTTATTGTAGCTAAGATTTAATGAAGTTAAAGTAATATTTCTGTAAAGAGTATCTGCAAATGCTTTCCTGCTTCGGAACCAAGATCATTGAAAGCAAGATTTAACGAGGTCAAAGTATTATTTCTACAAAGTGCGTCTGCTAACGCTTTTCCCCCTTCTGATCCAAGTTTATTATTAGCAAGATTTAATGAGATTAAAGTAGTATTTTTGCAAAGTGCATCTGCTAATGCTCTTCCTGCTTCGGAATCAAGCCCATTGGTATCAAGATTTAACGAGGTCATAGTATTATTTCTACGAAGTGCATCTACTAATGTTATTCCTGTCTTAGAATTAAGCTTATTACAACTAAGATCTAATGAAATTAAAGTAGTAGTTTTGAAAAGTGCATCTACTAAAACTTTTTTTTGTTTAGAAAAAGATAAAAAATTGTTCAAAATTAAAAACGTTAAAGTAGTATTTTTATAAAGAGCCTTTTCCAATGCTTGAGCTTCTTCTAAATGAATTTGTTTATTTAATAATCCAAACCTTCTATTAAATCCAGAGTCTGAAATACTGAAAGATTTAAGTTTCTTACATATTCGAAGAAACATCACAATTAAACAACATCTGATTGAAGAAGTTGCATCACTCCAAAAATAATTTGTTGAATTAGATTTAATATATTTTTCAATTCCTTTAGTCGTATGAATCTTAATAGCTGTCGTATGAGTTAAATATTCAATTAATGGTTTTGGACCATTTGGAAAGACTATCTTGTATGGTATTAATAGTGCTTGTTCTTCTGAGTTTAATGATGAAAGACACATTCTTATAAGTTTCTCATTGTGGGAAAGATGGCACAATAATTCTAAAATATTGACGATTTATTAGAAGACAGGAAAATAAACTTCTATGATCGTTCTTAAAATTCTTAAATATTTCTAAAAAGCATTCATTAGGTAACTCATTCATTTTAATTTTTGCTATGCGAATTTGCACCTTTGTTTTCAGATACTTATATATAAAAAAATCAGTGTTACACAAATTGTATCAATTTCTACCGCAGGCATGTTAAGCTGCGGCTGCAAAGATCATTTTAAGCATAGCGGGCTTTTATTATTGGCTAATTTTGTAGATCATCTCGTGATATTATATTGCAAAAATATCATTGGTTAATCGAAATGATTCGCAAGACAAATATTTTATATGAATCGATATAATTAATAATAATAATTAAATACATATTTATTAATGCCGTATAAAGATAAATTAGCTTTAATAGACTCATTATTACGAAATCTAACAACTCAAAGTCTAAAACATCATCCCAACATAAACAAAATCCAAGATCTTATTAAAAAAAAAAAAAAAAAATACTATTACACAAATTAAATATATATATATATATAAAAAGCACGAAAAACAAATAAAAAAATAAGAACCATTTATTTTAAGAGATAATAAAAACCACATAAATAATTTTTTAATTGTACATAATAACAGTTAATTAATGCCGAACGAATTTAGTCATAATTCTAAATTAATCTTAGATGTAAACTACACATTAATAATCTTAGATGTAATGCTATATTTTAACCTCTCATAAAGCTTGCAAGCTCATGCTTTCATTGCTTATGTCACTAATCTTTTTACTTGTAGTACGTGTCTGTCTAGAAAAATAAATTAGTTATAAATAAAAATAGATTAGCGTTGAAAATCTTTTGAAATGACTATTATATTTACGAGTTTAATACACTATAGACTATATTGGTTAAATTTAAACGCCTAAACATACCTCTCATCTAACTTCCGAATTACCTCGTCATTTACCGAATTACTTTGGTATGTTGTAGAGCCGAAGGTGTAGTTTCTAAATTTTTATATCGTAACTTTCCGGAATTCGTTCTCGTGGCCCTGAATTAATTTTTGTGCACTCTTGTGACAGCAAATCGTTACTTTAATAAGACTTTATTATGATGTGATGATCTTCAAAAATCAGCCAATCACGATAAAGCCCGCTATGCTGTGTTCACATATTTTTTGCAAAGTGCAATAATTTAGCTGGGAATTTTTTATTTGTCCGCAGAAGGTAATCTTATAAAAATTTTCTGCCTTTTTGATAAAAGACGTGATTTTTATTCATCAAACCTGAAATATGATTGGTTTGTACTATAAAAAAATAATATCATATATAGAAATTTTGGTAGAGGTGCTTATAACCAACCAGATTGCGAGATCAGTTATGATGTGTCATTACACTTTAACAAAAAATTCTAGTATAATTTAACTGATTTTCAGGTACGCTTAATTTGTAATCAAATGACTTAGTGCATAAATTCTTCCTTAGTTTGACCAAAAAAATCAAAATAAAACTGTTGTGAATAAGGGATTAAAGAAGGAAAATCGTGACAAGTAACGTGATTGACTGGTCACGTTCCTTCCGGAACACAGACTGGTGGGACAAGTCGCATACGTCGCATTCGTTCCATAGAGTACCCTAGCCATGGCGAAGAAAATGTCCGGATCATGTGACATCAATAAAATTTTTGAAGTTCGTTTAGGTTTGGGTTAGGGTTAGGTTTAGAGTTAGATTTTAGTAGGTTTATAGTAAAATTGTGTAAGGAAAACTTTTTGTTAGAGCACAAAGGATGGTTTCTCAAAACGAACATTTTGTTGACTTTTTCTGATCGTGTAACGTTATGTCATTCACTATTGGCTAATTATCACATGATCCGGACATTTTTCAAATTTTCTTCGCCATGGCTAGGGTATTCATGAATCTGGGTTTTAACGGACCTTATACATATGGCGATTGCATAATCACTTTTACCATATAAAGCCATGTTAAAATTATACGTATTATATTTTTTTTACTCAATGAATAAGTTCAAATTTGCAAAAAATTATAATAGTATAAATTTTTTTTTGCAAATTTTTAAATATTCATTGAGTTACGATTTTGGATGTCTTTAAATGATTTGCACCGTATCAAATTACAGTCAACTCTTTATACCAAATTCTCGAGTCTGGCCAAAAAAAAAGTTCGTTATAACAAATTATTATGTTTTCTTAAGAGCTGTAGCCCTTTTTATAACTGAACTATTATTAAAATTTCAAAATTTTGGGTTTGCTATATCCAAAGTTCATTATAAAAAGGTTCGTTATACGTATCCAGAGTTGACTGTACTAGATATATATGTAAAAATCTAAATTAAGTAAATATTATAGAATTTATTAATAATAAATAAAATAAAATTCGTAATTTGTGAAATCGTAGAATTAGTAAAATTATTAAAAACGTTAATTCTACAACTCCACCATGTTGTGAAATCATCACTTTATTTATTTATTAGTGCCTTCTGATATGTTCCGGACAATTAAAAAATAACATATTACCCTTTTATTATTCAAATATACATAAAATATATTTCAACTTAATAAATATTATAAATATTGTACGGACGGATTGTACAGATATACCCTCCTTTAAAATGATATGGTTTTGTTTCAACCAACATTATAAAACAAATGATAAGAAAACATAAGTCCACTATACATTTAACACCTGATCGAATAATAAAATATCTAAAGGTTTAATGAATAAATATAATTGTAAATTCTTTGATTGTTCAGAAAAAAAATGTATAATTATCTTTCAGCTCGATTAATAATTTCTTTCATTAAACTTCGAGCCTTTTCCACACCATCTTGTGAACCAGTTACGATCACAACTTCGTCACCTTTACCCTTCGGAACTTCAATATTACACCCACTTTCATTTCGAATACGTGAAATTGTATTGCCACCACGACCAATAACATGACGGTGATATTGTTGAGGAATAGTCATATAACCCGTATGGGTAAATCGGCTCTGATTTTTAGAATGAATCTGTTAAATATATGCCTAAACAGATAAAACAACATTTTAAGAAAATATGAATTACCAATAAATCATTAATATGTTCTTCTGCACGCTCTACTTGTGTTTTTTCGCCCTTCAAATTCCAAACAACATCGCCGACCGCATTATGGCCATTTTCAACCACTTCCCATTCAAATTCTACTTTATGTTCAAAATTCTCGTGATCGTCATCAATTCGTTTAGTAGTAATTCCGTTCATAATACTCTTTTTAGGAGGGCTTACTTCAGTTTGTGCATCAATGTCATCATAATCTAATGTAACATGGAACTCACTTCGAAGCTTACGAGTGGTATTTGCAATCAGAGAATCATGGAATTTACGTGGAACGTTAATCGTATGAGTGTAAACCCTAGACTGTTAAGAACAATAATTAAAAATAAAGTTAGAATTATAAAGTTAAATTATCAAACGTCATATAAAGAAATATGATAATACCAGAATCTCAGCTTTTGCAGCCTCAATATTTTCCGCTTTTCCTACAATCTTAACGGCCTCTTCACTATTTTCTATTTTGTCATTCGCGGGGCTCGAAATAGAGATATCATTATATGATCTAGAGCCAGGAAATTGAATTTCCACATTATACCGACTTTGAATTTCACGAAGCCGCGTACCATTACGCCCAATAATGATTGGGTGCTGTGCGCGTGGAATTTGAATAATATTGACCGTAAGGTTGCTCTAAATATAATTAGTTTCATTACAAATTTGGAATATTATAGGTATATATATAATAATAAATAATCATTAAATGTTAGATACCTGTTCTTCGACTAATCTTTCTAACTCAATTTTTATTTTTTCAACAAGTTCCTTATCACCTTTAAGAGTGACTTCATCGCTGTTGCTATCTGGGCGAGGAAACTTCACGATACCAGTCTGACCACTTTTTTCATCAGGGCCACCAGCCTTAGCAACGATTTCTCGAATTCTGCTACCAGAAGGGCCGATCAAATATTTATGGTGTTGGGGATCAATGTTCATTGTAATAGTTGTCTGGCTTTCAAATTCCTTTACAATGGCAAGAATAAGTTCCTTTGCTTTTTTAATGTCAGATTTAGTTCCATGGACTGCGACATTTACAATCTGCTGATTTGGATCACCTTCTGAAGGTTCGGCTTGCCCAAGCTCGATACGAGTAAATGTTTCATCTTTAATTTCAGTAATTTTAATTCCATTTTTACCCACAATATGAGGAAGAAATTGGGTTGGAATTTTGAAATTTTCTACATTATCATGATCTCTTTCATAATCTAGTAGTTCCATCAATTCTGCCTGAGCAGCACTAACACCTTTCTTTCCACCTTTAACAATTACTTCATCTGGTTTTTGTGCATCGGTAGAATCATCTTCACCTTCTTCGTTAGGATCTTTAGTTTTAGGGAAACGTATACGGACATCATACTTTTCTTCAAGACGTTTTACATAACGACCCTTTGCACCAATCAATGATTTGTGATATTCAGATGGAATTTTCAGATGAACTACAGTGGTATCCTGTAGTTTTTCAATACGATCCAATATTTTAATTTTCGCTTCTTCGACTTTGTCCTTCATTCCTACAATAGTAACTTTGACATTTTCTCCGGGAGTTGTCTTCTTTTCTTCACCCTTAGCACCTCCTTCGATATCAATTTTTACATTTAAAGTATCCTTCAAACGTGTCACATTAGCGCCACCTTTACCGATTACATGGGCAGAGTATTGTGCAGGGAAGGTAAAATCAATGGTGTAAGAATTCATAAACTATATTGAATTATAAAGCTTAAGTTAACATAAAGCCGTTGCTCAACTTTACACGCCATACTATTGGTTCTAAAATATATTAGCGGGACAAACCTCGGTATGTTTTGCATCTTCAACAACCTTATTAATTTCTTTAACTACTCTCTCAACTTCTTCGGTTGGACCTTTAATTACAACGATGTCATTAGATAATGGTGTCTGGGCAAGCTTTTTACCTTCAGCGTTGGCGGACCGTTCTGCAGCGCCTGTCCGAGAAGAACCAAACTTGACAGAAACAGGAGCTTCACTACCGCCAGTGATACCGTTAAGGGTAGTGCCTTTTGGCCCAATTATATGACGATGAAACCTTACTGGAATGGTGAGAGTTTGCGTAGCAAAATCAGACTGTGATTATGTAATTAATGATGAATAAATTAATTTTAAATATAAAAAACAAAAAAAACACTTGTTAATATAAACAATTTGCGCTTACTGCATCTTGACCAGCTTTGATCAATTCTAATTTGGCCTTTTCTAAAATGTCTTTGACGTACAATTCCTTCTTTTTCTTATCAACAGGAACATCATTACTATCTTTGCCCTCAAAAACAATTAGGATGTCAGGACTCTCATCCTTCTCGTCAGGGACAATTATCTCAACACCATAAGTTTCTTTTACACGCTGAAGGTTTTGTCCTTTACGACCAATTATATGACGATGAAGATGCGGTTCAATGGTTGCAATAGCAAAATGACTTGGTGGCTATGATGTACCATAATAGAGTAAATATTGACACAAAATGAAAACATTTCATACATAAAAATAAAAAATAAAAAAAATTACATACAAGGTTCTTAACAATTTCATTGACTTCTTTCCTTGCATTTACTACATTTACAGGATCTTTGCCAACGAATTCCAATACTACACTCTTTTCTAAAGCTGGTCCTTTGGGAACCGTTATTTGCACATTATTGTCTAATTCAATCTTTTTTTTACTCCTATTCCATAGATATTTTAAAATATTTTTGGCATGGTCCAAAGGTTGGTCGGTTTTGTGAGAAAGAGCAATGTCCAACGTTTCCACGTGAATAGAATTGGCCTTGTCTAAGGCCATTTGCAAAGCCAACGCAAGTTTGTTTTGTGGACCACGAATAATGATCTTCTCAGATATATCAGATGGAGAAGGTAGTTCTAGAGAGCATCCCGTAGCTTCTAGAATTTCGTGTAGATTCGAACCTTTTTGTCCAATGAGAAACCTATGTTGGCGCTTTGGGATATCGACATTAAGAATTCGTGTGGTGCTTTTCTATTCAATTAGGTAAGGAAGTGTAACTTTAGGAAGTTGACAATAATGAAGAATGACAATTTTTTACTTACCAATGTGGTATAGTTTTCTTCAATAGTATCAATGGCATTTTTAATCGCATCTCGTTCGCCAGTAATAATAATATAATCTTTAGAAGAGTCATGATTCTCGCCAAATTCAGCCGAAGCGATATAAGGGGGTACGTGAATTTTTGTTCCAGTTTCAGCACTAATTTGATGACTACGTTGGTTGTGTGCGCCAAAAATCAATGGGTAGTATTGATGTTCTATATGAGTAATACGATGGGATCGTTTTGTTGTCTGTACACAATGAATGAATAATTTACATAAAAACATCAAAAAAAACAATCACAAATTCTGCCATTTCAACTTTTATACGTAAATAAATCCTTACTCTTTCATTAACGATGGTAGCAATTTCATCCTTGGCCAAATTAATTCCCTTCTTATCCCCCTCAATTTTGACACTCATCATTTCTTCGTCCTCATCATAGTCGAGTTCATTTTCATCGAAGTTGTTTTCTTGACGTGGTGGAAGTTGAATACGTGTTCCAGTTTTAGAAGTGATTGCCTGTAGAGTTTGACCGCGGGAACCTAAAATGTAACGACGAGCAGAAACAGGGATTTGGATGGTTTCTTCGCTCTAAGGTAAATGAACATTAGCAAAATCAACTAAAGACTGCACTATCGTCAGGCATAATAAGCTAAAAAAATTAATATTACTTTAACAGCCAAAATATCAAGTAATTCACGCTTTGCTCTCATCACGTCTTCTTCTTTACCTTTAATCAAAAAAGTAGTAGTGCCACTTTTTATTGCTGTAGACATATCGATCTGAGTGTTTGTCTTATTTGTGATACGTCTGACCGTATCAGCAATTGTGGTTTTATTACCAAACTCTTTCTTTTGCAACTGTTGGCAAGCAGACAACTCGAGTATCTCAGTGATGATACCCGTCTTTTTGATTGAAGTTTGCTGACGAATTATTAGATCAGCACCAGAACGGTTTCCCCACACAGGAGATTTTGTTGTCGGAGCAGCAGCCGCAGAGAGTGAAGGAAAGTCTGTATCATAAGAAACAGAAGCAGGACCTTCAATAGGAGTGGAATACTCAACCACAGGACTATTCTCACTTTGAGCATGTTGTTCTTGAAGTAGTACAGAAGGTGGAAGTGCAGGAGGCAATCCTAGGGATTCTTCTGTAAGGCTGATAACTGCGGGATGTTCAGAGACAGACATTGTGGAATAAAGTCAGTTATGGGTTTAATCCGTTGTCCGATGACCAGTAGATAATGACAGAGAGAAGGGAGGAGTGGCTTGATTGCCGAAGCCAGCGTTGCAATTTCACGGCTTTCCAGGAAGCAATATTTTGGCAATTATATAATCTTTAAAGAAAACGAATCTGGCGAAGCAGCCAAGGTAGTGAGCAAGTTTTAGTTCTGATGACTTGGTTGTTCTCTTGATTAAATTCAGTATCTTGGGGAAGATATCTGCATACACTGCATATGTGTGACTG